TGAAAGGCACGGCTTTTTATGTAAAATCTCTTAATAGAAAATCGTGGTAGAAATCCCTTGACACCTTTTCTTTATCCTGAAAGCTGTGACAAAATAAACCACAACTTTTAGCTTTATTAAACCCAGAATTTAGCGCATCCCTGGCTGCACCAACCCTCTAAGATCTTCCCAAAACCCCACTACTCCCCTAATTCGCCACGCAGCTGTGTTTTTCCACCACAAAATTTGCCCTTCCCTTTGCAAGGACCCTTTTTTGACAACTCCCCTCCCCCTCCTTCCACCCTCCCATTTCCACACCCCATCCGCCGTTCCCATTCCATTTCCCGAACCACACACACATCCTCCTCCTCCCAGCCTTTCTCCCCCTCAATCTCTTTGTATATGTGTTTCTATCATGCCGCCGGGGAGCGGCAACTTTTGTTGCGCTCCTCAGTATCGGCGCCCCAAGTTTTTGAGCGCGACGGGCGCGTCGACTCAGGAACGCGCAGAATCCGTTTTTGCATATTTCTTAATGCGCGCGGGCGCCAGCGAGGGTACAGATGGCCCAGGTGGAGCTGCAAAAACGTGACGGAGGGGTCGCGCGGGTACGCGTATTTTTGGGGGTGGGGTGGTGACCTTGTGTTACGGTACGTAAATCGTTGGTGCTCCCAGGGGGATGATGGATCTAGGGTTTTTTTGTAGTCCGTGGAGGCGAATCTGGAACATTTTGGTTTTACGAGTATCTGGTGGAGCCCGGAATTCGGGGGGTATCAACTATAATAATTTTCTTGACGCGTCCGTCTGTCTGTCCGTCTGTGTGAAGCCGAATTCAACTCGAAGGGGAAAGGAGCTAGAGCTTAGCTCTCTTCGGATTCGGATAGAGCGTGGTCAGAAACCCTCCAACTGATAAAAAAGTTACGAAAAACTTTTAGTTTAAATTATTAAAATTAACTTTGAAAGTTTTTCCTTAGTAAAAAGGGGTGGGGACGGAGGTTGGGGCGGTTTTGGACATAGTGAGCCAGGTCGCGCGCGTTTCGTGGATGAAAACGGGGGATTTCATTTCTTTTTTTTCTCATTCCATCCGGTCGGTCGGTATTTTTTGTTTTTTAAGGGATTTCAGCCATGGGGTGTATCTGAAGCCATCAGGAAGGTATTTAGGTAGTTTTTGAAGGGGATTTCAGCCATGGGGGGTATCTGAAGCCATCAGGAAGGTATTTAGGTAGTTTTTGAACGGGATTTCAGCCATGGGGGGTATCTGAAGCCATCAGGAAGGTATTTAGATAGTTTTTGAAGGGGATTTCAGCCATGCGGGGTATTGATGGAGGTGGGAAAAGATGTGGTGGAGTGGGACATGTAGGGCAGCCCGAAGCCCAGATGGTTGCAGTCGCGAAGCGACTGTAACCATCTGGTAATCTGATGTTTGTCATCGTCTTTTGAGAACAGATAGTGCGGAAAAAGGAAGAGCACTTTGGTATTGCATAAGCCGAGACCAAGGATCCCCACGATCTTGCATCCAAAACAACAACGCGGGCTGAGGGGGGTGGGCCCTAAGCCGAATCGGGTGAGGGGAATGGGGGATTAGGGTGGTGAGGCTCTGGCTTTCCGGCACTCATTGCATATATGGCTGCCGGTGATGTTCCTCAATATTTCCGGGGTTTGGGAGGTGGGAATAAGAATACTTCTCCAGTTTTCCGTTGTTTTATTAGTTAAGAAATTTTTCAAGGGACTAGGAAGGCTGGCGGACGTTTTCTAGTGAAGCTCTTCCTTCAGAACCCTTTTAGGAAGAGAATCAAACGCAGCGAACAATAGCAGGCCCTTACCCCCAATTTAACGCTTTCCCAAACACTTCTCCCGTTCCCTCCTCCCTTCAAACCCCAGACCCAATATCACTTTACTTTTTAACGAACCGCTTACGCCACCTTTTTCCCCCGCCCCGGCCAATGTGAGAGTGAGCCTTTTTGAAAGAGAGCGGCAGCTGGCCAGAAGGCTCTGGCCGGCCCGCCCGATAATTTCTCCGCTGGCCGTTCGCTATTTCGCCAGCCGGGGGGTGCAGCGCTGGGAATGGCCGGCGCCCCTCCGAAAACTCCGGACGACTCCTCGCCATAACTCCCAGATATAGGCCAATGTTTGGGGCGGGGGTTTTCGGAAGTTACGGCTTCTAGTGCCAATTTTTTCATAGTTTTAGGAATTAGGTTTTAGGCCATAACTCCTGAAATTCAAAATCATTCTAAATTGCTCTAAAAACGGACTTTTGAATTATTGATCCATTTTGTTGGTTTTTATCATTTTCAAAAAATTTCAATGTCCGCTGTGTTAATTAAAAGCTGTAAAAACTCGTATTTTCACATGCACTTCCCCCTTATTACCTTAAATCGATAAACTGAATAGTTGAACGGCTATTCTTATATATTCTGCACCCAACCATACCCTCCCCCTCCTCCAAATATACCTTTTCGGCTCGGAGTCGCTCAATTTTATTGGGTCAGAGCCGATGTCCTTCGGCCAGCTGGCCCAGTCGAGCCCGAGCCATAGCCCTTCCTCCCCCCTTTCCCCCCGCTTCCATCGGCAAGCCCTCCACTCTAAACACACGTTTTTGCCATTTTCGGCAAACCCTCCGCATTTACTGGGCCTAAATTCTGGCTTTATGTCGGTTTTTGTACATAGGAACGTGTCGGAACTTGTATTTTTCCTTGAGCTAGGAAATTTGCACCGGAATCTTGTCTTCCTAGGCTGGGTTTTAACCTCAAGCTTCTTACTAACTCTCGAACCACGGCCTGATCAGTGATCTACAACCCCCATAAATCGTACAAACCTTGACACGCTTCCCAAAGACGGAAACACCCAAAAATCCAACCACTAAACCGGATGAAAGCAAAAAAGATTTTCCCAGGACCCGCGCGCCGTTTCCACCCCTCGCTCACCGCTCCATAATTGCCGAGGACAATTCCATGTGCTGTGCACCGCACACACGTCCGTATATCGAGTTGTTTACGGCCCTTCCAACACCCGGGTAACCCCCCGCAAAAGTCACGGTCTGCTCTGGTAAAGTGTTTGGGTGGAAATTTGGTTTTTGGATAAGACTATATTTCGTTTAACTATCTCTCGCTGGCTCTCTCTTTCTATCGCTGTCTCTACAGCCTTCTTACTCTCTCAGTTTCTCTTTATCTCTCTTACCCTTTCGCTCTCTCTCTCGCTTTCTCTCTCTCTCCCTCGCTCTCTCTCTCTCTCTCTCTCTCTCTCTCTCTCGAGCGCTCTTACTCTCTGGCTGCGTCTCTCTCTCTCTCTCTCTCTCTCTCTCTCTCTTCCGTCACCCACAACCATTTTCTTCTCACGCTTTACTTACTCTCGTTCTCGATAAAAATCTCGTTTTCTGATCAAAATTTGAAAATATTAATAACGGTGAATTAGATCATGATTTCGTTGCCCCTGTAGACTGCGCCAAAAAATCATGTTTCCGAGATGTCCTATCCGAGATGTCCGAGATACCCAAATTTTCACCCCAAAAATTCGCGCGCGCCAATTCCTTCGAAATTTCTGTGAGTACAAGTCGATCTTGTTTACGACCCGCCCCCATGGCTCTTACCGCCCCCACCCTAGTCACGGTCCGTGTGCCCCAGTAAAGTGCCTGAGCTCAAAAATTTGTAGCCGAGGCCGCCGGGCAAAAAGCCGGCCGCAGCCACCAAGGACATTTTCAGTAGCAGCACCTCCTTCCCGATCCTGCGCACCTCCTTCGTATTCTCCTCTGCCTCCTCCTCCTCCTTCTACCCTTCCTTCTTCCTTTCCTGGGAGTTCGTATAGCGCCTACGACCCGCCACGCAAAAAAAAGTAAGCCAATTTGCTCCACCCTCCTCTTTGCTCCCCCTTCTTTTTGGGGTCCACCGAGCCGGGGTGGGGAGGGGGCCGCTTCTGATTCCCAGCTATAATTTGCACCGCAACCCTAGAGGGGAGTTTCATTTTTCAAGGTGCCTGGACTTCCAATTCTTGGGAAATACCAGTCTTGAAAATCTGGGATGCAGCGGGTCGACCCTGACACTTCTAGGGTGGGGGATGTTCCGTTTTTGAGGAAGCGTGACATTTGATTTTGGTTTGCATAAATAGCTCGAAAGTTTAAAGAGGAGGTCCAGCCTTCGCGGAGGAAGCAGAATTTCAATTGCGCTTAATATGCGAATTATCGAAATTTACAGATGCTGTTAATCAATAAATTGGAGGCATAAAACGTTATTTTTGCGAAATATGACGCTTGTACTTTAATTTACACCTCTTTTGCTCCTAGATACCTTTTACCTAGATACCTAGATACCGTACTATTTTTCCCTTTTTTCGATTTCTTAATAATCCTGTTTTAGTTATTCATTTAAAACGTAGCTTTGTTAATTGAGTAAATCCAAAAATTCTATTTTTTTTTTTTAGTAATTCGCCAGGAAGATCTCGAAAGATGAAGAAGGTGCTGGGTTTTGCGATCGGTAAGTGAGCGTTTACTATCAAAAAACAATAAATTCAGGGGTCCTCCTGTTTATCGCGGCCACGGGCGAAGAGATTGCCGCAAAAGCCGGGCACACTTTGGAGCTGCCGATGGAAGAGGAAGACGACAGTAATGGGCCGCATACGTGCAAAAACTGCAAAGAGCACTTGAAGACCAGCCACATCTGGAATGTGGTGAGTCATCCGCCTTGCTAATGTTCCGCAAAAATTTTGGGGTACGGTAGCCGTTTTAAGAGATAAGAGAATAGTCTATGCAATTTATTTAAATCGAATTAGTGAGCGAAGCACCAGCATTAATAGGGAAAAAGCAGAAAGCTATAAGCGTTTTCTTAGAACGAGAAGATTATAATATAAATTGATAGAATAAATATAAGGGCTAAAAGTATAATTTCTAACTCTTACAGATCCTCGGCATCGCCTGCGGCTGCTTGGTGCTCAGCAACATCCTCACCATCACTTGCGTGAACTGGATGCGCATCCGCAACACGATCGAGTCGTGCGTCGACCGCTGGTTCTACCGTCACCCCGATGAGGAGAACCTGGTCTAGACAACAACAAAGAACATTACATATTCGCAGCATCAACTGGGCAAGCAGGCTACCCCTCGACGGATCATCAGCTCGTTTTCCCTTTCTCCTCACGAAAGCAATAATCATTTGCGTGTATTGTGGCCCTAATTTTTTGTTGTTTTTTTGCTTCCGAGAAGCCGAACCACCCCGCAGCTTTTCGTCATCGTTAGTGCCCCCCGGGTCCACAGGTCCATTACTGGTTCCAGAATATCCTCCTCAGCAATTTTGGCTTGATGCCCGTTTTGCCACGTCTAGATGAGCTTATATAGACAAACGGATAGTTTTTTGAGTCCCTCCCGAATTCGCCCGAGCCCAGCTTCTCTTTGCCAGTTGATGATTGTCTGACCTACAAACATATCTGATATCGCGTTTTTTATATTGTCCAGCCTCCCCCCTTCCCCACGTTAAGAATCTCAACTTGAAGTAGGTTTCAATGAGGTGCCTTTTCTTTTTTGATATGGTTGTCCCTGGTGTCCCCCCGAGTCTTACCCGCCCTTTCGCGCTCCATTCCTGACCCCCCGCCCCGGACTACTTTGAAATCTATGGTTTGCCCAAGCTCAGGTGCTTTCCGCAAGCAATTTCTCGCCCCTCCTCATCCTCACCCGGAATTTTTTGGTTCTCCGCATCTGGAGCTTCGGGCTCAAACACGGTTCAATAAACGTTTATGCTGGATCATATTGGTTTGGTTGAGGAATTTGCATATTGAAAACGTTGAAAGGACAAGTTGAGCTTAGGCGTAGGCTTAGACTTAGGCTAAAGCTTGGCTTATGATGCTCATATTAAAGTGATGCTCCACGCCCATCTCCCTCAATCCAAAATATCATTTTTGGAGAAAATTTTTGCAGACAGCGGGAGGTCGTCCATAGAAATCGGACATATCGATAGGCATAGGCATAGGCTTAGGCTTAGGCTTAGGAGTTTAGGCTTAGGCTTAGGCTTAGGCTTAGGCTTAGGCTTAGGCTTAGGCTTAGGCTTAGGCTTAGGCTTAGGCTTAGGCTTAGGCTTAGGCTTAGGCTTAGGCTTAGGCTTAGGCTTAGGCTTAGGCTTAGGCTTAGGCTTAGGCTTAGGCTTAGGCTTGGCATCAAAACAAGCAGAATCGTCGGACTCATGTTTTCTTTACAAATTGACAGTGGGCCAGATGAGTGGCGGGTCGGCCTTTTGTCGGAAATCTTTTGTTTCCCCTTTGGATTTAGTTCCCATTTAAAGCGATTGTGTGGTTGATTTGATTGCTTACTTGTAGACAAATTGAAAACAAAAACACTTTATTGCCTCCTGAAACTATTGGTCACGCTGGTTTTGCAAATAAAGTTCGGGTAAACCGTAGACAGTGGATGCCCGCTAATTGCCCTAAATTGAATTAAATTAAAACTCTGAAGGATCTGCCACCATTCTCCATCCGAGCAAGTCCCGCCACAAGTCGAGGGATATGCCTCGAGCTGAAATATTTATGCAAATTAGCGTTTCATTGGGATACCAATAATGGTCCTCCATCAGCCGCTTTCAAACACATTTCGTGTTGATAATCGGTGATTGTATCGTCTTCCCAAGTAACCTGATCAGCTAAAATGCTGTTTAAGTTAGTTAGGGTTTGTATTCACCTGCTCGCTTATACTTTCCACCCAAAATTGTGGTCCCGGCTAGCCAGACATCGATTTTCTTGACGCATTCAGCACTATAGGCAAGCTCTAAAAACATCTAACTCCGATTTTTGAGCTCCGACATACGGTAAATGAACTCGTTCTCGTCAGCAGAATGCACTGAAGCCAGGTTTCCGCCAAAAGTTTGACAATAGGTTTGAGCATTTGCATAAGTCGAGTTTTGGCCGACCTAATGCAACCGATCAAAACTAAATTAATGAACCTACGTGATAGCACATACCAGTCTTTTCATAGAACGTCCAACCGGGCGCACAGCGTTGTTTTTGTACTAATATAGGTTAAACGAAGATTATGTAGAATATACCAGCAAATTTGCATAGGAAGGGGAAGGCGGATTGGCAATCGGCACAATACCAAACCACACCATCAGTTTCTAGTGTTGCGCACGAGCCCTCTCCGGCCATATCTGTAATAAAAAGAACTTTAGATTCATATTAAATTTGCACAGAATTAAAAGTGTAAATTAATCATATCTAAATCAGTTTTATGGATGTTAAAAGCGTTCAAAATTCTTAGATTTACCTGCCCATCGCCAGTAATTCCCATCCGTCTGATCGTTCCACTGCCACATACTCCCATTATTCCATAATCCAATCAGCGCCTTATTCCGATCCATTCCGGCTGGCGCTTTCTTTTCAGGGATACCGTACTCAAGCTACCTCTTGACATATAAGCCGCATAGATGTGGTTTTCGAAAGCACTGTGAATCGAAGCCAAATGCCCTCCATAAATTGAGCAAATCTTTTCAGCATGATCAAAGGTAGCGGCTTAATTCGATTTTGAGTTTTATCCTTCAGAAACCCTTACGGTGATTATATACCAATAGACACGAATTTAGCTCCCCAATATATTGACTATTTGCAGGGCATTGGCCATAAACGATGCCCACAATTCCGCACAACACCAAAATTACATAGCGGCTAGCCATCCGGAAAAGTCGGAAAAATGAATAGCGGTCTTCGCGAAGTGGGCAGCTTATGCCCCAAATCACTCGATAAGAGCACGCCGGCCTAGTTAAGCGTCTACCGCGCCAAAGAGCATAGAGAATTTTTGGTGAGCAGGGGTTGGTTTTGTGAGCTTTGCTGCGTGGGGTGTTGCATAGGCTAGATTTTCATCTTAAAGGCTATGAAATTTGCATAGGAGTTTTATTAGAATGGCTTGTTGAAATCTAGATGCGCTGATCGCACTACTCATAAATTATGATTTTCTTTGAGCTATCAGCTTCTCTAGATTTAGGCTTAGTCGCAGACTTGGTCTTAGGCCGTTGCTTAGGCTAGGCTTGAGCTTAGGCTTAGGTTCAGGGTTAGGGTTTTAGGCTTAAGCTTAGGCTTAGGTCTAGGCGAGGCTTGGTTTAGGCTTAGGCTTAGGCTTAGCTTAGGCTTAGGTTAGTCTTAGGCTTAGGTTAGTCTTAGGCTTAGGATTAGGGCTAGGCTTAAACTTAGGCTAGGCTTATGCTTAGGGTCAGGCTGACGATTAAGCTTAGGTTTGGGTTTCAGGGCTTAATTAGGCTTAGGCTCTAGAAAACAGAACTCCGTCTAGAAAGTTGAATATT